GAAAGGGTTGGATGTTTTTGAACAATTTAGAGTTAGCGGAGTTCAGCTTGTATAAATAATTCAAGTCTGGGTGCCTAATGGCTTTTAAACCTCAGGGGGAAAATGAAGAACAGAACAAAGGTGTTTCCACATCAATATTTATTTCGGTGCTTTTCTCTTTTGTTTTATGATTGTAAATTGATTCTAAATATGGACTGTAAGGATTCATTTTAAAGTTTAAAGTATTTTGAGTTTAAAACATTTGTATGTTCCCTGCTATTCAGTGTCGTGTCATAGAACAATTTTCAACGCGGTTTTATGTTTTTGTTCCCCGTCAATCAGATGCAAAAGATTTTACGAGCTGTGCTGAGATGAGATGTATCTTTCAGTAGTTTTCCCAAAGCCTTAAAAATGTCGCTTTATAGTGGCACTTTCTGTTTGTCTTATGTTGTGTAAGCACTTTGTTAAATAAGCTAATGTTTTATATGTTAATGTTTCTTCCTGTGATCACTGTGGAGCTGTTAAGCGGAGTTACACAAAGGGTACGAGGTCCCAACCTTTCCAGAGCATTTACTGAATAATTCCATGTGTGAAAGTCACTAGAAATTACAAATGATCAAAATGATCTCAAATCTAGAATTATGAATTATTCCTCAAATAGAATCTATTAGCCTTTGGTACAGAAAATGTTCAGCTTATACTTTGCTTTAACTGTATTAGAAGTCTCAACGTTGTGTGAAAGGGAGTTCAAAAGCTCGACCCCATGGAGCTTTCAGATGAAAAACAGAAGCTAACCTCTTAGATGAGAGAATGCAAGTCTACTCTCTCAGCTTTAAAAGTTGTCTATATTGTATGGAATACCTGGTGAGATAGTTATTTATAGCCACTGTTCTTTAAGCCCCCCTCCCAGCTGAACCAGGGTCCAGGAGAATGTGGGTCGGGTGTCAACAGTAGGGAGTCCACGCTTGGAATTCTTTTGATCCAATATTTTCCAAACCACATTCTCTGAAGGGACAATGCAGATTTTGAAGAAGTCATTGTGGTGGGGAGATGCCTCACGTTAGCAGTTTGTCCTCATTAATTGTTTTAAATTAAAACTGTTGTCGAGTATTCACAGATAGCTCGAGACACAAAGATGCACTCGAAGACTTAATGATGTTTCCATGCAGGCTCTTGCCCCCCATTCATGAGTTTTGGCAGTCAGGTGCAGCCCCGGTCGAGCTCGGTGGACAGTGAGTGAGTGGTGTGGGCAGGTGGATCATGTGAGCCTTGGCACACTTTCTCCCCAGTGTACAGCATGTTGTCTACACCCGCCCATAAATTTGATATGTTATGTGCAGCCTGTAGAATTCAGTTGCTGACAAAGACATTGATAGAGATTTTCACCACTTAGGACTTCGAAGTTCAAGTTTCTGGTGGCTGGTTTATTAGGTTGCCTCCTTGGCTGTGATTGTTGCGTGTCAGGGCTGACTATACTGATCTATATTAATTGCTTTCCTCACAAGTTACCCCTTTCTATTCTTAAAATCCCCCCTCCCCCCTCTTTTGGTTCTCGCCTCCCTTCCTCCTAACCTCCATCTGTTTGTTGCGTTTACCCTGTGGCCCTGTGTTGGCTGTGGGTGATGAAATGAGACTGCATTTGAAGTGGGCCATGCAGGGAGGTGTTTGTAGTGACACTGATGGCTCCTCCTCCTCTGTGAAGCCCTACCCTCTGTGTAGTCAAAAAAGACCCCCTGCACGTCCAGTCTTCCCAAGCGCTGCTTTTACAAATCCAAAGCTTGGATTCTTTTTTTTTCTCTTCCTTCAACTGAACTTCCGTCAGTTTGTATGGAATGCAGACAAAAAGCAAAGGTACATCTGACGACAGAATGCAACTCAAAAGTGAATCACAGTGGAGCTTCTGCCCCCAACCCCCTTGTCTCGCAGTTGGTTGCTAGGTCTTTGATTTTTTTTTTTTTTTTTGAAAGTAGAAAGGTTTTTTTGGAAATAGGCCTAAAGCTTTTAAACGCATTCCCTCAGCCGCCGAGTCTGATAAAAGACATGGCAGGTTTTGCGCCCCCTTCGTTTTTCGCTTCTGCTGTTGTGCTTTTTCTTTCCTTGTCGTTTTCACAAAGCGAGGGCCCTTGTCTAGAGGCTGAAAGCACCTTTCAAATACACACTCCTCATCTTCTTTCTCCTTCTTTCTGTCTTCTCCCTGTGCATTTTCTTTTCCCACCGGCTGGCCTCTTGTGCGTGCTGTGTGACGTATGCCCCTCTCCCACCGGGCTCTACCCCCTCTGTGCTCCCAAGGGACCAAGGGCCTGTTGTTGCTCTTTGAAGAGGCTGGGAGAAAAGTTTGGAGCCACACTCTAAAGAGAAGAAAAGCCCTAGCCTTTGGGAGGAGGGGTAGCACCTGGCCATAGAGGGGCTCTGTGATTTTTTTTTTTTATTTTCCCATGAGAAGATGCAGTGGAAGTCTTGGACTGACATCAACGTAGCTGGGGGACTGGGAGGTTCGAGGATGTGGAGGTGGCTTTAATGTCACATCAGGCATCGTATGTCACATAGATTACTAAAAGCTGGAGGAGTTTCTCCTGTGCGACAAAGCAGAGCGGATAACTCTCAGTTGTTGTGAATGGTGCTCTTGGAAAGGATTTCTGTGAAAGAATGATAGTGGTTTAGAGTAAGATAAAGCTCTGGTGGCATGCAGACATTTGATCAGCTTTATCCAACTATTTTTTTTTTTGTTTAAGCTAAAGCGTCTCATCCTCTTCCCTCTATGTATTTTTATTTATTTATTTTTTTTACTGTCATACATCACATACCAATTTTTTTTTTCTTAAAATGCAGATTTGGATTTATTTTTGACGAAGTGTAATTATTTTCTTAATTTTTTTTGCAGGTACATGACATGTTTACAGTTTGTTAAAGCGCTGCCACTGTAGGTGTCATCCAAAATTAAACAGTGTATTTGGAATACTAATAGTCCAAGGGCTGATTTATGTGCATATCTGTTCATGCGTGTGCATGTAAGTGTGCAGTATGTCTGGAGTCAGCTGTCCGGATGCACTCCAGAGATCAAAGGCTTCTATGGGAATGTGCTCTGAATCTCAGGGGATTAGCAGCTGAGATTGTGCTTTGTTTCCCCAAATATATGCTCCGTTTGGAGCAACGGATAGCTGTTGATCAAAGTGTCTCTCTGGCTAGAGGGTTTTGTTCAGCACTTGAGGGTGGCATTTATTTCAGAACTCTAAAGAATCGACAGATTTTGAGGATGTTCTGCTGTGTAGTTTTTCTTTGTTTAGAACCTGGACTGGATTGAAATCATTTGCAATTGATAAGCACAAATAG